AATCTTCCTCTAGTCGAGTTCTGATTATCAAGCTTTGAGGCTAGATCAAATGGGTACTGTCTGCAAGTTTGGGTGTTTTTGTGCATCTCCCCTCACTACATATCAGCTGGATGCTTCACTCTAAGCTCTAGCCCTCTGTGGCTATATCCTTATCCATGGGCTCAAGTGTCCCCAGGTCTCACCACACTTTGGACCAACCAACCTTTCCTTTTCTTTCTCTCATCTCCAGGTCAATGGGAGTCAATGGACTTTGGTTGAACTCAGCCCATTTCTTCATTACTGCCTTTCCCCCTCTTCCACTCACCAGTAGACCAATGTGGTTGCCAGCAAACTAACATGCCTATTCATGTGTTCTCTTTGAGTTTCAGTCTTAGAGGGGAGTTTGTCCTGAAGGAACTTGATTGCTTGTCTTGAAGACTTCCTGGTGAACATGTTGCTTATTCTTGTAGTAGCCAGTCACGCTGACATTTTTGTATTGGTTTTTTCCTGATGGTCTTTCTTTGAAGATGTATCTTCTTTTGCTCTTAACTGTTCCAGACTGATCTGCTTGTCCTTGCTAGTGGGAATGTCCCACTTCAGAAGGTTCTGGATGGGATTCAGGATTTCACCTAAGGTCCTATACTCTGCAAAGGCTTTGCAAGAGGTCTATTTTGCTGGGCAAGTTCTCGAACCCTTTTTAGGTATTCCAATCAGTAATAGGCTGAAGGCAGGCTTACAAGTTTTCTGTAGCCATGTTTCCCAACATTCCTTTCTATCCCACTCAAGTGTCTATTTTACAAAATTAGGCAAGGGAAATCAATGTTCATAAAACAGTCATGCATTTTAGTATAATTTTCCCTCTTCAAACTATGCCGATCTAGATCTCTGTATCACAAAGCTTTGTTGTTCCAAGGTTGAGCATGCATCACTATTTACCTCTGTCCCACATAGGCCATGCAAACCTGTCTCAGTGTTCCCCTGTCTATCTTGTTCTTCCACCTCCTCCCCCTTCTTGTATTGCCCTCCCCAACATTCGAACTAAACCTCCCACTCCAACCCCATTGTTGTGGCTACCTTATATTCCATTAATTCTGTCCTTCATTTAAAATAGTCTATTTTATCCTGTAATCTACCTGACCTTCTCACCATCTGAATCACTGTTCCTCTGTGTTTACCTTCTTTCACATTGTAATTGTTTTGATCATAGACTGGCCTCCCATATCCTCTGTTCTTATAATTTTATTCTGTTCTTGACTCTTTCATTGTACATCATTCTCTGGTTGTTGTCTGTTCTTGTTGGTTCTCAGCCCACAGAACTATCTTTAAGATGTTTTTCAGAGTAGGGTTGGCTTTGGCAAAATCCCTTAACTTCTGTTTATCCTGGAATATTTTGATTACACCTTCTTATTTGATTAACAGCTTTGCTGGGTAGAGGATTCTTAGGTGGCAGTTTTTTTGTTTTTTTTTTCTTTCAGGGTTTTATATATGTCTCCTCATTGTCTTCTTGCCTGCATGGTTTCTGTTGTATGATCTGAGCTTAATCTGATTTGCTTGCTTTTGTATGTTACACTTCTCTTTCCCTAGCTGCTTTCAAGATTCTGTCTTTATCTTTGATTTTGGAGAGCTTGATTATTATATGTCTTTTAGGGTCTATCCATCCTGGGGTTCATTGAACTTCTTGAATGCTTATCATTTCACTTTTCAGGATGCTAGGGCAATTTTCTTCCAGAAGCTTTTGAACTATTTCCTCTGTGGACTTGTGGATTCTTCCTGTTCTGGAATGCTGATAATTCTTAAGTTATTCCTCTCCATGTTTCCAACATGAATCTTAGGTCTTCTTCAGATTTTTAAAATCCTTTTTTGTGCTTGCTCGTCTATCTTTGCAGTGTTGAGAGATTTATCTTCTAGCTCACTAATTCTGACTTTTATTTCTTCAATTTCACTTCTTTGCCCTTTCAGTGTATTGTCAATTTCTGATATTCTATTATTAATCATTTTAACCTCTCTCTGTAGGTTTTGAATTGTTTCCAAAGCGGTATCTATCTTATTTGATTGTTCCTGTAGTGCTTTCCTAACTTCTTCCTTGTTTCTTTCAATTTCATTGTATAACGTTTTGATACATTTTATAATAATTTTTCTGATTTCCTTCTCAGGCATTTCCAAACCCTCCTCATCTCCCAGTATGGAGTGTAGGTCTACCTCCAGTTCATTTACCTCAGTCACTGTATCTCATTTCTGGACATGTGCTGATATGGTCATCTGTTTCTGTTTTTTTTTTTTTTTTGGCATATTTAGGAATTGTCTGTGGCCTTAATACTTATATAGGCGTGTATTTTGGTATTTTTTATGCTTTCTAATTGCCTCCAGCTAGATGTGATCAGGAGATGGGCTTCCCTTTTCTCTCTTCTTCCTGAGAGATTTCAAGATACCACTTTTGGTTGTTGTGATATAACTCAGGATTTAATTTTCAGCCTATTTCCTTTTTAGTCTGCCCGTCCTGCTCCACAATGCCCATTTAGGCCTTTTTCCTAGTGATAAATGGTTCAGGACTGGCTGTGGCTGTTTTGCACTACCATTTGGTTTTAAGTGGAAATTGACACCTTAAATTTTTGTGGAGATCTGTGCACATGCATAGTAGAACCCTCCATGGGTGGGGGTGGGTGGTGTATCCATTCGCTCAGGCACCCCTTCTAGTCACCAGAATGGAGTTGTACAATCAGCATGAGACCAATGAGCAGATACATTAAAAAAAAAAACAAAAAAAAGAATGTCCACACCTTTAGTTCTCAGGGTCTGTCAGCCATCCGTGGCTGCTCTGATCCTTCCCTCACTTGGTCTCTCCCAAGATGGTAGCTCCGGGCTCAGCTGAGTGTCTTGAATTACAAAGCAATGGATTTCTTGCTTCTGCTACAAATTTCCCTGGCTGTAAGCTTTCCAACCTTCTAAATATTCCATTAGATGTGGTTCAGAGTTCTGGCGCCATCCCCTGAACCTGCTTTGTCCGGTATTCGGTGTTGGTGGTGACAGAGCTCCTCACTGCACTCAATCAGATCTGCCATCCTGTTTGTTCTCCCTTCATTTCATTTTTTACAATTTCCAGTTTTCTTAGATTCAAACTTCATACATTCCATGTTCTGATTATTAATGGATATTTATGACTATTTCTCTTTATTTTGAGTTGTGCCCCATGAGCAAATGAAGGTCACATGGGGTTTACTCCCACAAGCTTTATTCCATTTGAGTCATCACAGTCAACTGTACTTTGAGAAGGCAGCTCTTTCCCAGTCACATTTTGAGTGCCTTCCAACCTGAGGGGCTCATTTTCCAGCACAAAACTGACAGTGTTTCTCTGCTGTTCATAAGATTTTCAGTGACTAAGAATTCAGAAGTAGTTTGTGACTTCTTCCTAGTCTGTCTTTTTGTGGAAGCTTATCTGAAACTTGTCCACCATGGGTGACCCTGCTGGTATTTAAAATACCCATGGCCTATCTTCCAGAATCACAGTAACTCGCAAGCCACCACAGTATGACAGATGAGTAGTGGCTTTTACTCTTAGGTACCTTAAAACTTTCTAATCTCTACCCATTACTCAGTTCCAAAATCATTTCCATATTGTAAGTATGTGTCAGAGCAGCATCCTATTCCTAGTACCAAATTCTGTCCTAGTTATCTACTACTTCTATAACAGAAAAACACAAATGGGTGGCATTAACAAACATAAATGTATTTTCTCACAGGGAAAATTTCAGCACATATTTCTTTCAGACATAACCCAATCAATAATACTGAGAGATCAATTCACAGACCTTTTTTTTGATACTGCTTTTACAAAAAGATTCATCTGTAGAAATACAAAAACAAACCAGTTAAAGCAAGTTTATCCTAACTCATAGCAACCCCATATCTGCCCTAGTAGAATAGAACTTGTGAGACCTAGGTATTTAAAAAGGAAGTGATTTACTTCAAAGTATTGTCTTAAACAAAATTTATAGGTCAGATGACAGGCTAGAGACTATTGCTTAATCACTAAATATGGGAAGCTGGCAAATCCAAAATCTATAGATCTGACACTTCTGAAGGCTTGCACCCCAAGATCATATGTTAAGTGAGTGAAAAGTGCAGAGTTGAAACAGAAAGATGGAGAGAGTTCTTCCAGGATATATATTCATAGAAAGCAGATATTATGCTAAGGAAATTCCCCTTTCAATGGAATTACTGATGACATTACACATCATTGCATTATACTACATTACTATACAAGGTTGCTATAAGTCAGCTACAACTCAACGGACACTTAACAAAACAACAACAAGATAAGAATTGTAGTTTTATCTTTTTTTCTTTTCCTTTTCCATGATGATTTAATCAAATAATTAGACCAACCATTCTGTGCATAAGAAAAATAAATATTTACAGAAAATAAAGACACAGAGAGATGGGCTTGATTTAAAATACATTGCCACTGTTCTCTGGAGCAAGTCTGCTTGGGTTTCAAACTTAAGTGTCCTTGAACAAATTACTTAGCCTTAATGAACATCAGATTTCTCACTGGTAAAACAGGATCTTTATAGTATCTCCCTTATTGAGTCATTTTTATAAACATATGAGTTGATGTATGAAAAATCCTTTAACCTGTGCTTTGCACAAAATGAATGCTTACTATTATTAAAATAGAAATATTTTGTGTGGAATTTTATGGCAGTAAGTAAATTTACCTTTTTTGCTTTTCTCTTTAAAATATTTTCCAAATAGATTTTTTAAGAAGACTTTGATATTCAAATATTAAAACAAAAACAAAAACAAACCTCCCTCTCACCTTTTTAGCCAATCAAAGAGTTTATTTTACAAGTGCTGCAATTAGAATTTCCTGTACTGTGAAATATGGAACATTTTAGAAGTTGGTAAATGTATTGCTCTTGCTCTTACTACACATACATAGGTCAACAAGAGTGATTCAAGAACATATTTTAAATATGCAATTTTTCTTTCTCTTTTAAAATTTCTTCACAAGTAACTTTTAGATTCCTAAGCCTCCAGCCCAGCTTCTTGATCAAATACTGCTCTTTCCAACAAGCACTCATCACGCATTGTGTCTTCTCTGCATTGACCTGGTGGTATCGGTTTTCATGGCAGGTATGTGATTACTCCCAAATCAGATTATCAGAATCTAAAAGTACTCAAATTAGTTATTTCATGGGCATGGCTAATTTTGAAAGCAAAGGTTTAAGGAAAGGGGGCATGATGACAGTGAATTTCTTAGGTTTCCCAAGTGTTGGCACTTTTTCATTTTGATGTCTTGATTCATCATTCTGTAATTTATAGTCTGGAATGTATTTAAATTTTGAATGAGAAATGAATTAATCTGTCTATATTATAATCCACACCATCTACCATAGGAATGAATAGATAATGCCAAATACAAATGGCACAATGCTTATAAGTGTGTTTTGTTCTTTTTTAAAATACCATAGCATTTGTGTTGCGACTCCAAAATCTCTCTCAGATACCAGTTTAAATATTATACTATTTTCAGCTTCTTTGGGAGTATGCATATGTTAATGCAGACTCTCTTAAAGTTGAATTGTTTCAGGAAAAAGCCTACAACCATGTAATTTTGGGCAAGAGCAAATGTCATATTCTCATAAAAATAACTAAAAGAAAGTTGCTTGTATATTACAATACAATGTACTGGGAAATGAACTAACATCAACAGAGAATTACTCTGTGCATTGATTTTGGAAAATCTCATCCTCAGTACCAAAGTGCTCCTATTTCCTTGCCTTATAATACAACTGTATAACTAATAATATATAAACATTTCTCAAAGAAGAGTTTGTATTGAGATTAGCAGAAGGACATACTACCAAATAGTATTATTGCGAATGACAATGGCAGAATGTATTATATGAAAGACTCTGGACTGGACAGAATTGTATTTTATGTTTGACTTGTACGCTTACTATCTTTGATACCTTGAAACAAGGATGTTATTCTTGCACCCTAGATTTCCCTACCTAAAGAGTGCTGGTGGCTCTGTGGGCTGTTAGCTTCAAGTTTGGTGATTCAGACCAACAAGCCGCTCTGAGGGAGAAAGATGAAGCTCCCTGCTTCTGTAAGGATTTACAGTCACAGTAGCACTAAGGAACAGTCCTGTATAGTGTCATTATGAGTAGGAACCAACTTCATGGCAGTGGGTATTATATACCTAGAAGGAACCTGACTTTCTACCTTGTGATTTTTCTTGAAAGAGTAAAAGTAAATTTCATTAATTTAAGCAAATAAAGCAGAAGTTGCATCCTGCTAATTTCTTTTCACACTAGATCCCTAAGTTTCTTTGTAAATGTTTAAACAAAACAAATCAAGAAAACAAATGTTAAATTTACTTTATCTTCTAAAGACTAAGATGGTGAACAAGAAACTGTATGGATATTATCACTGAGAATAATGTGTGACACATAAAAATGTTGGTGTTGATTGGAGTTCTACGTGGAATATCTTCTTTTCCAGTGGTTCATTGGGAACATGATTGTGTTATCAAATAAAAGATGTAAAGATTAAAATATTTCTCTCTATATCTGTACTGTGGAGGTGGAAGCTTCTGGATTTTCTCTCTCTGATTTCTGTTTTTAAGAACTTCAGTCCTGTGTTTACCTTAAATTTTGTCCTATCTCTCTTTTTTACAGCTTTTCAGGCCAGTCCATGGAAGCTGATTTCTGGAATCTTGGCAATAATGTGTCTTTTGTTGATGACTACATTGAGCATTTTATTGAAAAATTGTAAGTTTTCCGTAGGTTTCGTTTTAAAGGTCAATGTTACAATAAAATTGCTTAATAGAAATGTTCTATTTTACTAGTGTAATATTTTTCTCACATACACATTTTTGTCATTTATTATAGCATTTATCAAACAAAATATTCAACCAGCATTCACTCCAGGACCAACCATAGAGCTCCAGAAAGGTAGGCCTTATGTATTTTTGAAATATTCCATGTTGGCTGAACTTTAAAATAGGGCATTTCTTGTTTTTTCACAAGGAGGAACATGATGGTATATGCTGTTGTTAAGTGCTGTGGAGTCGGTTCTGACTGATAGTGACCCCATATAGGGTTCCCAAGGAACAACTTGGTAGGTTTGAGTCACTGATCTTTCGGTTAGCTGCCCAATGCTTATCCTATCGCACCATACTAGGACTCCATGATGGTACATAACAGAAATATAATTTATTTCCCCAATCTAATCTACTTTGGTACTGTGGAATAAAGCACTTGACCACAAGGTCAGTTTGAACCACAAGTTCAACTGTTCAAACTCACCAGCCACTCTTTGGAAATTCTATACAGGGTCGGAACCCACTCGACGACACTTAACAAGAGCAAAAATCTCATTCTGGAGTCTGGTGTGGCGTGGTAGGATAAGTATTAGACTGCTAACTATTAACTGCAAGATTGTATTACATTGTATTAACTGTAAAGATTGGCAGTTCAAACCCAACAGTTATTCCTCACAAGTTATTCTGGGCAACAATGTCATTCTATTGTTCTCTAATGTAGGTATGATTGTATTACGTTGAGTGTACCTCCTTTTTATGTTAAAAGAATAAGGGTAAAATTAGCTTGAAATGAAAGATTTCTACCCTTTATGAGTCCACATTAAGTAACAAATTATAAACTACAGTAAATATTAATTAAGCCTGATACCCCACCTGTGTTTGCTCATAACCCATGATCTCCTATCTCTGTTCTTTTATTTCCAATAGTACTTATGCATCACAATACAGTGTCCAGCTTTCTGCAATTGTAAAAATCTACTTACACAATCAGAGTTTAAAGTATAATTTATGAATGAATATATTTTCTCCCAATGCACTTCAAGTTATCTCTCCTTTGTGATCATGTGGCATTTTATTTATATCTTATGCAATTTCAGCACCATTTGTTTGGCAAACATTTGAGTATTCACCACGTACCATGTATTCTGTTACTGAGGATGAGGAATGTTGAAGGTACTACCACTGCTAAACTCTGCTATTAGGCTTCATATTAATTGTTTTAGTTATTGTCATTTGTGAAAAAAAGTCCAAAACATCAGGTTCTCATCAATTCAGAAAATATGATAAAATGTTTCCCTTCTTTAAATCACTTCTCTCTTTGATCTTGTTATTGTTGTTAAGTGCCCTGGAGTGTGTATAGGGTTTTCTAGGCTTTTTAAAATCTAAGTGGAAACAGAACGCTTCATCTTTCTCCCACGGAGCAGCTAGTGGGTTCAAACTGATAACCTTGTGGTTTGCAGTCCACTTCTTATTTTATGGCAGCACTAACCCCTTTCTTTGATCTGGTTAACTCCTATTTGCACTGCAGAGTTCAGCTTAAGTCATATCCTCAAAACAAATTCTTCTACCTTCCCTCCCTTCCATCCCATACCTTGCTATGTGCTATTTAATATACTAAATTTCTTTTGCATACTTAGCAAAATTATCATTAAGCATAATTGAAAAGTTATTTGAATTATATAAATCTTACTATATGTCTATAATAGCACTGTGGATCTAGAGGAGTGGGGAACCTTTTTTCTGCCAAGCGCCATTTGTATATTTATGATATCAGCTAATATACATTTATGTTGCTTTGAAAAAAGCTCCTAGATTTTTTGAATTTCAAGTCCTGCTTGCTGTTGCCTTGGCAGGGCCAAACCAAATAATCTCCAGGGCTTTATTAGGCCCTGGTGTGATGCTGCAGAAGAATGCACTGGACAGCAAGGTCGGTTTGAATTGTAAGTTGGGTGGTTCAAATCCATCAGCTGCTCCATAGAAACTTTATACAGAGTCGCTATGAGTCCTGATGTGGCACTGTGGGTTAATGTGCTGGACTATAAAATAGGTTTGAACCGCAAGGTTGGCGGCTCAAGCTCACCAGCTGCTCCTCGGAAACCCTATACAGGGTCCCTATGGGTCAGAACCAACTCAATGGCACTTAACAAGACCATTGAGTCTAACAGATTCAATGGCACTTAACAACAACAGCAACCACCTATGGTTCACGGGCTATGTTTCCCAAGCCTAGAGAATATAAGCACTGGACTGCAAACCTCAAGTTGGGCTGTACAAGTCCACCAGTCACTCTTGGAAGAAAGATAAGGCTTTCTGCTCCTACAAAGATTTACAGCCTCGGAAACCACATATAGTTGTAATCGACTCAAAGGCACTTAACAACAAATACCCCTATAATATAATATCCCTAAGGAAAATTATCAAGGAACTCTGGCAGCATAGTGGTTACGAATTGGGCTGAGAACCTTAAGGTCAGCATTTCAAAACTACCAACTGTTGGGCAGGAGAAAGATGAGGCTTTTTGCTCCGGTAAAGATTTACAGCCTCTGTAAATCTGTACAGGGTCGCTATGAGTTGGAACCGACTCCATGGCGCATTAACAAACAACCAACCACCACCAAGGAAAATGATCACATCTATAGTCATTGGTCTGTGAGCTAGTGCGCTGGATTGTAAAGTTAGCTTGTACTGCAAGGTCGGTGATTCAAGCTCACCAGCCGCTCCTTGGAAACCCTATACAAGGTCGCTAAAGGTCGAAACCGAGTCGATGGTACTTAACCACAACAAAGTAGAATATAGCACAGTGTGGTGCATGTAATAACTACTCAAAGATTATTTCTAGAGGAAAAAAAAATAGAATGTAACTTTTGAATGAATAAACAGCAATAAAAATATTTTAAATCTCCATGTCGTTGACCATATTTCATTTTTTATCTTAGGTTCTGACTGCTGTTCCTGCCCAGAAAGGTGGTTTGGGTACAGATGCAAGTGTTATTTCTTTTCCAACGAAGAAAAAACTTGGGCAGAAAGTAGGGATTTCTGTGCTTCTCAGAATTCTAGTCTACTTCAGCTGGAAGGCAAACAGGAATTTGTATGTACTTGAGTTTCTACATTTTCTTTGTTCTGGAAAACATATCTAAATAAGTGGAATATTTTGATTTGTGTTTAATTAGATAGTAAATGGGTGATCATACTTGAATAAATAATTATTGACTTTCTGTACTTTGAAATAAGCACTATAAAAACCACTGAATGCCCACAGATATTTACACTCAGGAACAAAATCAATATGTCAGATAGAGTTAAAGTAAGTTTTCTGGGTGAATTTAAAGTAATAAATCATTATTTTTACTCATTTTATTTTTATGAACCAATGAAATGACTTCATAATGCCTACTTTATATGTTATTTTGCAATTATGTTGCTTCCGCCATGTCTCTCTAGTACAGCAACATAGAACCAATATAGAAGGTACAGTCATAAAAATGACCAATCCCTAAGAAGAAGTGTGAATAAGGACGATCATAGAAAAATGGATGCATTTAAATTATGGTGTTGGCAAAGAATATTGAAAGTACCATGGACTGCCAGAAAAACAATCAAATCTGTTTTGGAAGTATAGCCAGAGTGCTCTTTAGAAGCGAGGATGGTGAGACCTAGTCTCTTGTATTTTGGGCATGTTGTTAGGAGGCCCTGGAGAAGGACATCATGCTTGGAAAAGTGGAGGATCTATAAAAAAGAGGAAGATCCACATAAGGATCTTAAGGAAGATGCCTTATGACAGTATTGATTTGAGAGATTTTCAATCTGGGATTTCTGATACTTTGTGAAGGATATATTCCAGGAGAATTCTAACTCATGGAATGTATAATGTCATATATTTTTATAATTTTTTAACCTTTCTAGAATTAGATCTTGTGATATTATTTCTACCACAAATCAATGGGCTTGATAAATGAGAAAATACAAGTCATGGGACTGTACCTTGTAAATCAGAAATTAAGAGTTCAGTTTCAATTTGTATAATTAACAGACTTTCATTACAATGAGGGGCATTGACTTTCTTAAAAGTCACTGTTCCCATTGTGCATTCACATCAAGTTAAAATGTTTGTCTCTGTTTCCAAACAGGATTTTAGAATCTCTAGTAAACATTATTACTGGATTGGACTCTCTTATAATAAAATTAATTGCACTTGGCTGTGGGAGGACGGCTCTATACCTTCCTGGGATTTGTAAGTTTCTGCCTTTTCTGCTTTTAGTGAGTTTATGTGTAAATCGGACTTGTACCCACAACATCCATGAGCAGTTCAGCAAAAAAAAGTTACACCTCTAGGCATGAATTTATAGAAAAGAGAATGGTGTAGCAGAATACAATTTTAGTCCAATCCAGAACGTTCAAGTTTATATTCAAGCTACATGTAATGTAGTGTTCTTGTGGGTATAAAATAACTATGACTTTCTTTTGTTAATTTTGCCTTGGGGCAAACACATAGCTATACCTGGTAATGAATATATACTCACTACCATTCCCAACAGTCCAAATAAAGCACAATATCCATTCCTTTCTTTATTCTGCTGGAGCCAAAATTCTCAGCATACTCTCAATGCTTCAAAAATGTTATGTATCTTTGTAAACTTTGAAGTCTTATTTTCATTCATAAACATGGAATTTTCAGCATAATACAATGATAAATTGTATGTTATTTGTGTCTCTAGACTAGGTCAATCAATATGTCTTTAAACAAAATAGTAGTAAAGTGTATTAAGCATCAAAATGATGAGCAACAATAGAAAGACCAATTAAAAAATCTCTAGTTCCAATGCTATTTGTCATAGTGGGAATAACTAAGGGTTTTTAAAAATAGATTTATTTATTTATTAACTTTTTATTGTGAATTGGGTGATGGTTTACAGAGCAGACCAGTTTTCCATTCAACCATGCATGCACATTTTGTTTTATTTCATTGATTGTAATTCCAGCAATGAAACATCACTTATCCCACTTTCTCCCTTACTTTCCAAACCTTTCTGAACTTTTTTCTTGGGTAAATGCTGCTCTTTTCATCTCAAATGACTGATCATTCTAAGGTATGTGGTACCTCAGTAGCGCTACTGCTCCCCTTTTCTATACTTTGGATGACAGTTTTGTCATGGGGGGGGGGGAGAGTGTTGAGCTAATTTCAAGACATAAAAGGTGACTAAGTGCCATAATCTGGGGGTTTCACCATTCTTCACCCTACCAGTAAATCCAGTGTATTTTTCACAATTTTGAATTTTATTCCACATTTTTTTCTACACAACACAGGACCTTCTAATGTACTCCTTTTCAGAGAACTTGATAGTGATATCCAGACACTATCTAGTTCTTCTGGTCTCTGGGTCATAGAGACTGATAATTGTGTGGTTCATTAGTCCACTGGACTAATTGTTTCCATGAATCTTGAATTTCCTGCATCCTTCTTTTTTCTCTGAGATGGGAGAGGCATCTTAGAGGTTGCTCACAAACTTTTAAGAGCACAGTTGTTACTCACCAAATTAGACTCTAGAACAGTGTCTTTGTGGAGTATGTTATGCCAATAGACCGAGGTGTTCCCTGAGACTACAATCCAGGCCCAGAGACTCAGAAATAACTAAGCTTTGTGCAATAACATGAAAACAGTGGTTATTGAATTTTTTAAAATGTATGATTCAATATGCTAATATATTATTTAAATGCTTCAGAAGGTTCTATTGTTATAAAAAATGCCAGCACCTATGAACACTTTCATTTCAATTTCCCCATATATTAATATGTATTCTTTATTACAGGTTTTCACAATATAATATTCCAGATCCAGAGAGCTGCATATTATATAAACCAAATGCAACTATTACAGATGCAGAATGTGGGATGGAAAATCATTTTATTTGTAAGAAGCAGTTTATTTAAGTATTTCTTGGAGTTGTAGCACAATAAAGATTAAGGGATTTTTTTATCTCATATTTTTACTAATTATCTACTTTTGGGGTCTATAAAATATTTCATTTTTTAATATTATCAAATAATTTGTATATATTTGAAGTCATGTGTTCTAAAATGAATTAAATGTTTGTGCCTACACTTGAATTTATTAAGCATCATGATTAAGAATGCTATATTAAGACTTTATTTTGTTTTTTAATAGTAAATTTATTATAGCTTCATGTATCTTTTCTTGCAAATTATACTTACACAAATTTTAGCAAAATTGACAATACAAAATGCTATATATCAATACAATGTCAATGATTTATATGGCTTAATAATTTGGAAAGGCCCATTATCACCTCCTGAACTTTTCAAACGAACATCTATTCAAGCATATATATCTTCATATATACACATATATATATCCATGTAGGGTAGTGGTTACAAATCAGGCTCCGAACTGCAAGGTCAGTAGTTCGAAACTACCAGCTGATTTGCGGGAGAAAGATGAGGCTTTCTGCTCCCGTCAAGATTTACAGCCTCAGAAACCCTGTACAGAGTCGCTATGGGTCGGAACTGACTCGACAGCACATAACAACACAACACTTAGATGATATATTAGTTTAGAGATGAAAGTTCCAGTGCTTTATACTATATGACAATTTTCTTAAATGCATCATCCAGCTTCACAGCAAAATACATCCTGTCCATTTCTCAGTATTCTAAATTTTGAAGAATGTTTAGCTATCTTTGACCATTACTTTGAAATATGTGTTTCCAATGAAATTGCTTCCAGATTTAGCAAGGGGAATAAAAATCCAGGCTAAGAGTTCCTTGGAACTTGCTTGCCTTATGTTTGTTGTTGTTGTTAAGTGCCATCAACTCAGTTCTAACTCATAACAACCCTGTCTAGGGTTTCTAAGAAGCCTTATGTTATCTATCAGTAGAAGAGTCATTACAGGTACATTGAAGATCTGATCCACAAATCCATAAAAAAAAGGCTTTTTTTTTTTTCCACTAGAAATCTTGTGTCAAATACTGCATAGTTCAGTTTTTTGCTTTTAATTTGTTTTTTTTTTTTGTGAGTGGTTTAAATGAACTTTTAAGGTTTTCTTGAGTCAAAAAAAGGGTAGCGATAATGAGGAGGTCTGATCTTTCGGACCTAACAGTCACCAAACACCAAATATTTTTCATGGCTATTGCCTATGCATCTTAATAAATTTACATTGCATCACTATTTGTTCTATGGATTTATATTTCAATTAAATGGAAATAATTAATAGCCAATAATTGATCTTAGTATGCCAATAAACAAAAAGAGAAAATAGCATATTTGATTTTATTTTTCAAAATATAAATAAAATAGTACAATACTAAACTCTTCCACACTTTCAGAATAATTCACTTAGAAATAATGCTCATAAATTGCAGGATGAAATAAGCAGATTCTAAAATGTTCAAACTTTAGCCAGACAACTTATACATTGCACTTTCTATATAGCTAATATTTTCTGATTTTATTGTTTATGTGTTTTCAAGACAAAATACTGTTGTTGTAGTTGTTGTTAGTTGGTTTCAATTCATAGCAACACTATGCACAACAAAAAACTTCCCAGTAATACGTCATCCGCACAGTTGTTGTTAAGCTTAAATTCATTACTGCTGAAACTATGCCAGTACATCTCATTGGAAGTCTTCCTCTTTTTCACAGACCTTCCACTTTACCAATCATGTGATCCTTCTCCAGGGACTGGTCCCTCCTGATAATATTTCCTAAGAGACAATGTTTTGCCATCCTAGCTTCTAGGAAGCATTCTGGCTATACTTCTTCCAACACACAATTACTTGTTATTTTGGCAGGCCATGGTACTTTCAATATTCTTTTCCAACACCATAACTCAAATGCATCAATTCTACTGCGGTCTTCCTTATTCACTCTTCAACTTTCACATGCATATGAAATTACAGAAAATACCATACCTTGGGTCAGGCACACTTTCATTCTCAAACTGACACGTTTTCTCTAAAACACTTTAAAGAGGTCTTGTGCAGCAGATTCACCAAATGCAATGTTGTCTGATTTTTTGGCTGCTGCTTCCATGAGTGTTGATGGTGAATTCAAGCAAAATTAAGTCTCTGAAAACTTCAGTCTTATGATATTTTAGATAAACTACAAACAAAAACAATATTATAAAGTAGTTTATATTGAAATCAAATGTCATGTCTCAACTATACCATCTCCCTGTCTTCTTCCATGAGGCAATGTTTTCTGGCTTGCTTTACTGTTTATAGTGATTTTCTCTGTAAGGAACCAAGGAACCAGTTTTGGCCAAGAGAAATCTCACTGTTCATATTTTCTAGACCCAAATATAGATTCATTGCAGTTCATTTTCTTTTTGGACTTTTTATTGTGAATTACATGAAGATTCACAGACAATATCATCAGTTTAAAATTCAATAAATTTTATGTTTGCTTCATTTTAATGATTACAATCCCCTTTCTGCAACAACAGTTATCCTACTTCATCCTTGTGGCTTCCCTTTTACATCTTATATTTCACGAATGAACAAAGCAAAAATATTTGGTATACACATACAAAACAGAAGAAATATATTATTAAAATGACTGAAGGGCACATTCTGCAAGCCAGCCTCCTGCTGACAGACATGTAGCCTTATTCCATTCATGGGCTTAGAGTTAATAGCTCCTCTGTCTCTCCATGCCACCACCTTTGCCACTTTTCTATGTAGGATCTCATACTCTGCTCATGCTCTTCTTTCTTGTTGATCCTGGGATCATCCATTCCTGAAATGAAAGATTAACTACTCCCCCTTTTATTTACACATCTTCTGCAATTACAGTTGTGACAATCACAATTATTCTTCCTAACAATTATTCACAATTGAATCATAAAATCCTATCCCATCATCTTCTATGCCCTTTTACCAGATTCATCTGGGAAAGAGGGGAACTATTCAGTACAGATTCTACCTTACTCCCATCATTCTGAAACTAAGCACAGTCATTAAAGTTTATAAGCCAGCCACTTCATGCCTTTATAGCATTCAACTTTTCTGATAGTCAATGTCTAAATTTCCCACCTCTATCAGTGCAAAAATCATTACCAATAAAGAACAGGATATGGAGTAAAATTGAAGTTGTCAAAGACTTCAGTTTGCTTGGATCAACCATCAACACTCATGGAAGCACCAGTCAAGAAATCAAACAATATATTACATAAGGCAAATCTGCTGTACAAGACCTCTTTAAAGTGCTCAAGAGCAAAGATGTCAGTTTGAGGACTAAGGTGCACTTGACTCAAGCCATGGTATTTTCAATAACCTCATATGCATGTAAATTTTGGATAATAAATAAAGAAGTCCATAGAAGAATTGATGCAGTTGAGTTATAGTGTTGGAAAAGAATGTTAAAAATACCATGGACCACCAAAAGAACAAACAAATCTGTGTGTTGGAAGAAGTACATCCAGAATGCTCCTTAGAAGCTAGGATAACCAGACTGCATCTCTCATAGTTCAGATATATTATCAAGAGCGAATAGTCCCAGGAGAAGGACATCATGCTTGGTAAAATGGAGGGGCTGTGAAAAACAGGAAGACCCCAATGAGATGGATTGGCACACTGCCACTGGCAGCAGCAATGAGCTCAAGTGTAGCAACAATTATGGTGTTGGTGCTGGAGCAGTGTTTCATTCTGTTGTGTATAAAGTTGCTATGAGTAGGTATCAACTGGATGGCACCTAACAAGAACAACAACCAAACCAGTACACTGAGGAAACAAGTTTGTTCCTTGATATGACCAATACTTCCATTCTGGTTGGAATTTTGAGCAACTGTATTCATAAGCAAAAGTCCAGTTCATCAAATTGTAGCAATGTACACGTGGTCACTGTATGAAACATCTTTATCTTCATGTGGTCAAGTTCTGAACAGCTAGCCATCCAATCTAGGTCAAATGGGTACTAGCTGAAAGCTTGGGAGTTCATACATGCACCACCCTGCACCTCAGACCAACTAGCTGTTTCACTCCCAGCTCTAGGTCCCATGGGCTAGGTCAGGGCCCATTGACTCAGGGATTCTCACATCTCCATAAATTTCAGACCCAGCAGAACTTCCTCGTCTCTCTCTTATCTCAAGATCAACAGATGTCAATGGAATATGCCCAAGCTCAGCCCATGTCTTCATTGCTGCTTTTGTTCCACTTTCACTCACAAATAGACCCAGGTGGTAACCAGTGAGCATACTAGACTATCCACAGACTCCCTTTGAGTTTCAGTCCTAGAAGGGTGTTCTCCCTGATGGGCTGAGTTTTCTTGCCTTGATGCCTCCAAAGCAAATGGTTGCTTGATATTCAAAGAGCCAAACAGTCTGCTTTTTCCTGCAGTCTTTCTTTCAGTAAGAATCTTCTGTTCTCCCAACAGTTCTGGGTTGGTCAGCATCCCTTTTCAAGTGTGTATGTCCCAACTCAGAATGTTCTGGGTTTGGATCAGAATTCCACCTAAGTCTCCATAGTCTGTAAAGACTTAACAAGAAATCTACTTCTCTGGAAAAAGTCTAATTCTTCTTTTATTAAACTAAATTAGTTATGGGTAGAAGAGGGGCTTATAAGCTTTTGGGAATCATAATTCCCACTATACATTTCTAGCACACAAAATGTCTACTTTACAATAGTAGGCAGGGGAAAACAGTATACAAAAGATAGTCAAACACATCAGTGTTTTTCCCCCTCTTTTACCCATTCAGGATGTCTTGATCCATGTGTCTACTCACGTCTACTCTTGTTCCAGGGTTATGTACAAATCTTTATTTACCTTTATCCCATTTAGCACATGCATATCTTCCTAAGTGTTCCCCTATCCTCATTGTTCATCTGTCACCCTACCTTATCTTCTGTATTGCCCTCCCTCTCCTTGTATATTGCCCTTCCCACTACTCAACTGAACATGCATCTACTCTCTAGCC